TTCTTTCTGTTATAGAGAGCTTGTTTACATCATATTTTCTCGTGCGTGCCCTCTGATTGACCCCGCATGAGACGCTGTGTTCACAAAGGGGTGTGGCTTAGGCCTTTGAAGTAACTTGTTGACGCCGCCAACGAATAAAAATAATTAATCTGTTCCAAATAGTATTTGGTAGAATGATTGGGATTTTTCTCGAAATGTCTCGAAGGCAGGGCTTGGGCGTCGGTAGACCCACCTATATAAGGGATTGACAGGCATGGACGACAGACGGAGATTTCATATAGATTCTCTTAACATTACGAGGCGTGTTTTATTCTTTTGTGTATTTGTGTGCTCCTACTTATATGTGTTTATTTCACATTATTTATTGGCATCATTATTTCTAATTGTATTAACTGTGTACCGGTACGACATCTGCCATACTGTAAGTTGAAGATTGTAATTTTATTTTATTTTATTTTGTAATTATCTTAAAATTTCTAATTGTATTAACTGTGTACCGGTACGACATCTGCCATACTGTAAGTTGAAGATTGTAATTTTATTTTATTTTATTTTGTAATTATCTTAAGACATAATAAATCTTAATTAATTGTAACTAGAAACTGTTTTGGGTCGTATCTTTAATATTGTTGATTATATGGTATCGTCCTTTGTTAGGCACTGTTTACAACGAGCCAATTAAAATTAAAATAGGAGATTAATTTCTCCCAATACAAGTCAGTGCGTAACAACTGGTATTTTCTTTGTATCTTCATACGGTAACAGATTCGTGATAATCTGTAGGCTACAAGTGATAACATCATGGCTACATTTACATGTAAAAGTAACATGTAAATAAACTGCATGAAGAATGTTGAAATACTATCAAAGCTCTCTTAGTATTCAAATTTTTACTCAGGTTAAATGTTACATGTTACATGCATTATGCTTCTTTTTCTTATTATTTTCAAAACCAAAGGCCGGCACAACTTGTTCAAGTTTAAACTTAAACACTAAGTAATCGGAATCTAACATATATTTAAAATATTTAAATTGCTAAAAAATAATTAAACTCATAAAACTACTGTTACAAAGGAATATAATAAATGTAAAATATATTTTTAATTAAAATTTTAAAAAAAGCAAAACTCGATCCCCATCTGAGAATTGATCGCAAAATATTATATCACATAGCGTCTGCTCTACGACAAGACCATACAAGATCATATCTAACAAGGATACAATGCCAATGATTAGTCAGTAAGTTGTATTTCATATTCTCTCTGACAAATTTAACTATATAGATATAACTTTATATTATTTTCACCTATAAAAAAATCTCATTTATTTCAGTTATCGGGAATTTCATTTCGTGACACCTGTGTCATCATATGTCCTTCATCTTCCCCTTGAAAAAAACGGAAAATTTCCGGCTAGTCGGGAATTAGTTAATTTGCAAAAAAATTATATTAATAAATTTGGATTCTACTTGGTCCTTTTTTAGTCTTTCTGTTCTCAAAAGGACTTTACTAAAATGCTAGTGGTTTCCTTTGAACTGTGCACACCTGTTAAGCTCTATTAGTTTCGTATACCGTTCTAATTCGATAGACCACGAATAGGTATGACGATCGAAATGTAAGTTCACAAAATATTTCCCTTTTTACCGTTCTGATAGATTCTCATATAGGAATTTTTAAACATTAATTTTAGAAGAATCCGTGCAACTAATGGGACAGTTTGCTTATTATTCTGATTTTAAAAAACAAAAGCAGTTGGGAATTTGATAAATATAAAGGCTAATTTTTTTTAAAAACCTCTGTTAGTCATGAAACTTTGTTACAAAAGTAGCACCTTTAAAGAAAAAACAAACGATATGTTAATTGATAAAATATACACTATTTGTATGGGCCGTTGAATTCTTAATTTTAAAAAAAATTTGGTACGGTACTTGTTTTAAAATATTTTTTTATTCCTATTTTTTTTTTTTTTAATTTTAAATAAATTCTGTGAAACTGGAAATAAAATATTTTAAAGTATATCTTTTTAAAATTTATCTGCAAAACGTTAAAATAGTTTGAAATTTCAAATAAATTTCGATCAACTAAATATAGAGAAATGTCAACTCATGCCTACTTCAAATTTACATAATAATGACATTCATATACGATTTATAAGAATGACCAGTTTCGATATCCCATAAAAAAGTATAGATCATTCTCCTTAACAGTTTTTTTCTTCTTTTTGACTCTGGCAAAAATTGGATGTATTTAGCAAAGGTTATGATTACACATACGTTGATTATTATAAGTTTTTTTGGTGTTTTTTTTCATTTCCGTTCAACATAATTATTATAAAATGATGTTAGCAGTGGGTTTTTGTAATGTGATGGAACTTGTATTTTTTTTTTTTAAAGAATTTTTACATTTTGAATTTTGTTTAAAAACCATATCTCATTTATGATGATGATGTCAGTCAGCTATGTCTGTCACCAAAGCTAATTTTTTTATTTTATATTTGAAACGTATAAATTTATTCCAAGTTCATGAAATAAAAATTGCAAAATTTACAACTAAGTTCAATAAATTATAAGAAAAACTATTTTGGCACCAAAATATCAGAAATAAAAACAAAATTAAAGAGGTCATTACTTTCGCTCTTTACTCTTAGTACAGTCCACTTATGAGATGGGATCTTCCAGCTGACTGCGGTCATCAGAGTGTCTGCCTAAATTTATTGATTATCATAATTCATACATGCATAGGCTTTTTTTGAGAGCCCTCCTTCCACCGGATGCATACCCATATGCAAATACCCCTAATCCAACCATAACTGTCATCATATAAATAAATAGATCCCTAACTAAATTTATTAATTGCATATTTTGTGTTATGTGAGATAAAAGTTTCTTTAAGCATGTTACAATGAACCCAGTATCATAGGGTAAAAAACATTCCTACAAACTTTGGACTTCATTTGCCAATTACAATTATAGTTAAAATGATGCCACTAGAGGAATGAATCCTAGAAATAGAATCTAAATAGTCTCTAATGACCCAATCACTGATGAAACATTCTCTGTCATTTCTTTCATTCCCTTCATGACATTTTGGCAGCAACAACCATGAATTTAAAAAAATAAAATAAATAAAAGCAATCATACTGAAGTTCCTATGCTATCACAAATGAACATACAACTCATACACTGAACCTCAAGAAATTTAGAGTGTTAACGCCTTATATCTAAAACAACCATGAATTCACTGAACCTCAAGAAATTTAGAGTGTTAACTCCTTATTTCTAAAACAACCATGAATTCACTGAACCTCAAGAAATTTAGAGTGTTAACTCCTTATATCTAAAACAACCATGAATTCACTGAACCTCAAGAAATTTAGAGTGTTAACTCCTTATATCTAAAACAACCATGAATTCACTGAACCTCAAGAAATTTAGAGTGTTAACTCCTTATATCTAAAACAACCATGAATTCACTGAACCTCAAGAAATTTAGAGTGTTAACTCCTTATATCTAAAACCTGACACTGGGGTTGATAAAGTACAAAATTCAACGTATCCCGTAGTTATTGAGTAAAAATAGGTGAGGGTCTGGCCTCTTCACACAAGATGAACATATTTTTTTTTAAAAACATATGGCACTGCTCACAAACACAGAACAAATAAAACAACTCATTGTTTAACCTGGCACTGTAAGAGTCAGAAATTCTGTCTAAATGACACCTTACGCACATATTTATGTCACCTTACACACATATTTGTGTCACCTTACACACATATTTATGTCACTTTACACACATATTTATGTCACCTTACACACATATTTATGTCACCTTACACACACATTTGTGTCACCTTACACACATATTTGTGTCACCTTACACACATATTTATGTCATTATAAAAACAATGTTATTAAAGATGTGTTGAGCTTTAATTGAGGTCTACTTTATTATAGTTATTATGTTTCAGCATCAGTCATTTCCTGTAAATCATAAGCTGCAAAGTATCTTTTAAGAGATTTAATTTGGTTATGGCATAGTATCTTAATAACCTGTTCCTGATTATAATGATGATCATCACTATAAAATTGCACAATACTTATCATTTATTTCATAATCAATTTTTTATACGTAAGAATAATCATACATAAACTATTAATATTAAGAATAAAACTTCTATTTAAACAGCAAAAAAACAAAAGTTTTTAAAGTCTAAAGTAATAAAAAAATTTTATTGAATTTGTCACTTTGGAAATTCTCCTCTGATTGGACAATGTCTTAAACTAAGGAATATTAAATGAAAGCGCCAATCATTAGACCTTTACATGAGTCCTGACGTTTGTTCACATTGCAGTAGAGTTAAGATAACATCTAATAGCAGTTGTTACTTTGTAGCATCAGACAGGTAATTAGGTGGATCTATCTCACAGTGACAGCTAATAATAGAAATTAGTTTGTAGCATCAGACAGGTAATTAGGTGGATCTATCTCACAGTGACAGCTAATAATATAAATTACTTTGTAGCATCAGACAGGTAATTAGGTGGATCTATCTCACAGTGACAGCTAATAATAGAAATTAGTTTGTAGCATCAGACAGGTAATTAGGTGGATCTATCTCACAGTGACAGCTAATAATAGAAATTACTTTGTAGCATCAGACAGGTAATTAGGTGGATCTATCTCACAGTGACAGCTAATAATAGAAATAACCTTCTTTTAGCTGGAGATCTGCATCAGGATTACCTTCTTTTAGCTGGAGATCTGCATCAGGATTACCTTCTTTTAGCTGGAGATCTGCATCAGGATTACCTTCTTTTAGCTGGAGATCTGCATCAGGATTACCTTCTTTTAGCTGGAGATCTGCATCAGGATTACCTTCTTTTAGCTGGAGATCTGCATCAGGATTACCTTCTTTTAGCTGGAGATCTGCATCAGGATTACCTTCTTTTAGCTGGAGATCTGCATCAGGATTACCTTCTTTTAGCTGGAGATCTGCATCACGATCACCTTCTTTTAGCTTGAGATATGCATCAGGATTACCTTCTTTTAGCTGAAGATCTGTCTCAGCATTACCTTCTTTTAGCTGAAGATCTGTCTCAGCATGACCTTCTTTTAGCTGAAGATCTGTATCAGCATTACCTTCTTTTAGCTGAAGATCTGTATCAGCATTACCTTCTTTTAGCTGAAGATCTGTATCAGCATTTCCTTCTTTAAGCTGATGATCTGTATCAGCATTACCTTCTTTTAGCTGAAGATCTGTATCAGCATGGCCTTCTTTTAGCTGAATTTCTGTATCATCATGACCTTCTTTTAGCTGAAGATCTGTATCAGCATGGCCTTCTTTTAGCTGAAGATCTGTATCAGCATGGCCTTCTTTTAGCTGAAGATCTGTATCAGCATGACCTTCTTTTAGCTGAAGATCTGTATCAGCATGACCTTCTTTTAGCTGAAGATCTGTATCAGCATGACCTTCTTTTACCTGAAGATCTCCATCATCAGCTTTTAACTCGGTTAACCCTTGTACAAAAGACTCATCGCTGCTGTCTTGGAAACTATCTCTCGATCTAGCATTAAAATTTTCAGTGTCAGGGGTTTCATTGACAATGTTATTTTTGACTTCTGAATTGTTCTTTTGTTTGTCAGGTGGTTCCATGTAAGTGAAATTATTTTCTGGAGTAAAACCAAACCCTTTCACCTCAGTGTTAGAAGATTCTTCAGATTTCTCCAAACTGACGTCATTTGTTTCTGTACATGCTGCATTAGAATTAACAGTGATGGGTAACAATTTGTGATTCTGCAAATCTTCTTGACACTGAACTCCCTTAAAATTATGTATACGCTCATAGCAAGTACGAAGTATGTCGAAATGTTGAATATCTTCTTCTGTTTCCGGAATATTAGGTTCCCCTAATGAGTGACAATTTATCGAGACATAATTCCAATCATCAGAAGATACAGCGACCATCACAGATGATTTATCCATACTTGAGTACTGAGCAGCAGATACATTGTCAGCTGGTGGTGGTGTTACAGAAACTGCTTGATTATCTACATTTTCAAGAGTTAATTTTTTTTTAACAGACAAGTCGGCTGGTGGTGATGTTGGGATATTCTGGCCAACAACTGGTCCCAAACGGTTCACTTCAAAAACTGGAGTAACCTCTTCATTGTTTTCTATGCTGACTTGGCTCAAGTTAGATGGAATGTGTTGCCTGGGTTGAACGTATGTTCCACTTTCTTTTTCCTCTTTCTCTTGTATATTAAGTTTGAGGTTTGTTATTTCATGGCATGAGCTCATGTTACAATTTTGTAAGTCTGAGTCACTTAGCATGAAAGAGCTGGAGTAAGGTGATGATGTGTTGAGGCCTTCTGTGTTTTCATCATGATTTCTATCAACTATCTGACACGCTCCCACTGCTGTATTATCATACAAGTTCTGACTTGTGCTATCCGACTCTTTAATTCTATTCATTATTTTTGAAACATTATTTTGGCTATTTGTGTCCTCAAAACTGGAGGATTTTTGTAAGGGTTCATCTTTCTGTTGATGATTTCTGCTCTCTGGGCTCTGACAAGGTGTAACGCTCATGGATTGCTCATAATTTTCGTTATTTGAAACAAATACATTTTGTACACTCATTCCAGCTACAGTATTTTCTAGACTTGTCCCGGCTTCAGCATTTGGTAAATTTGAAACTTGGCTCGTGCTTTGAGAGCTCTTAATTCTTCTATGATCCTGGTCAATTCTGCTTAGTTCTGGAGAAATAAGGTAGGAATAAATTATAGACGGTATGCTTAATAACTAAATCCTAATTTTAATTTTCACAATCTTAAAATATTGATACAGAAAAACTGGAAGAATATTTAACAAATTGCAAGTTAATCTATAAAGAAATCAGGGCTTTATATAGGGGAGATCATAAACTCATCCTCAAATTTAATACAATTATTATACGTTATAAGCATCTAAATAGTAATTTATAAACATTGTTAACATTCATAAAAACCTAATTTTAGAAAAATTTCTCAATCCAACACTAATGAATATTACTCAAAAACTGATATTAACAGAGAGGATCCCCTAGTTCCTTTGAACATAAAATGTTCCAGTTTAATCAGTACAAAATAGGTCCTATTTATAGATCTATTATTCATCATTGAAATACATTTTTCAGAATGGTTGTATTTCATTCTGCCTCATTGTTGCATTTTTCATAACTATATTTTTTAAAACTTCTAAAAATATTTTTAAAAGCTGAGTTAAAAATATGTTGGCCTATTATCTAATCTACAAAATAAAAGCATTCATTGTCTTGCCTACAAGACCGTTTAGTTTAGACAGTTTATGTAATGAACTTTCAATCTATTGAAAGCTTCTTACTCAATGACTACCACTGAAGAGAAATACTAATAACAAGACCATTGTGGACAGCAAAGAAGTTGGCCTAAAAATTTGTTCTCAAGACTTCAAGAGAGCAGCAATTAATTTATTATTAAACTAAATTTGTTTCTAATTTTGACAAAATAAAATTAAATCATAGCACTATGTACAAATAGTCTACAATAACATTTTAATTATAAAAATCCTAATTTAAGAGTGTGAACGATTACAAAATAGAACTTCACCTTGTTTTATTCCTTGAGCAAGATCCAAACAACAATCATGTTTGACACAAAATGCAATAAATTTTCTTGGAAAGTCATCAATTTTTAACATTGCATCAAGTAGGTCACTGTTTGCATCAAATTCACCACGATTACGAAGGATTGCTTTGATTTGATTCTGAAAATATGCAATTACAATGTGTACATTTTTTCTTTAATAATAAAGATTTTAAGAATTTATTTCTTTTTCTTTTAAGTACATAATTTTATCACAGAATTGTTAAACCTTTCAAGAATTATTGAAAGATTAAAATTAATATACTAACTTTACCAAAATTTGCAAGAGAGTTGTTCATGAATAAATGTGTTTGAAATATTTCTATACCTAATCCAAATGACATATGAGTGTTTAAAAGCATTTATTTTAAAACTGCAACACATTTTTTGGCAGATAAATTTGCAGCATTTACCATTCTACTATATTTTGTTTTTAAAAAATGTGCATATTCAAGCTTTACTTTAGAAGAATTTATTACAATACAGTTTTCCATATCATAAACTCTTCAAATTTGAACCCTTTCTGCCGCAACTGGGTATAATAAACCAGGAGACAGACTTTGATTGCTGATATATATCTCGAGTTTCCTTTTCATATTCTTTCTCATACTCGACCTAATCCACAAGCTAGTTGGGATGGACACCTTGGTGGATGCAATTGTATAAAGCATGCGAAAGTGACTTATGTTTTTGGGCCTAATATTTTATTCTACAGCTCTCAGCAACTGGGTGTAACACAACCATGCATAATTTTATAGAAGAAATAAACCTTCTTAACTGTCTTGTGAACATTTTTGTTTGGTTGTTGTTTGTTGATTATTTGAGTCTGTAATTCATGCCATAAAATAGATTTTAAATTTTGACAATAAATAAATATTCTGAATGCATTTGGGTACCAGGATACCAACAATAATCACATCTCTTCTTCTATTTGAGGGGCCCACGATCAATTTGTTGATCATTCTGGCTCCTGGTTTAAATTCAGAGTTTGCCTTCTCTTAGATGGGTTGCCGTCCAAGGCTAATGAGTCCCATCCACCCGGGGTTCTTGGGATGTTGGTTTTGGTGGGATTGAACTCCGGACCACCAGCTGTTTGGTTTGAGACAGTTTAGACTGCTCAGCCACCCAGCATCTATTCAACTTGACAAATCATTTCAAAGCAGAAACGTCACATGTTCAAATGGAAAATAGGGGTTTGCAGCTCAGCTTGCACAGTATTTACCATAAAAGAACAGAATGTTCTTTGCATATGTCCAATAAACTTGCTGAGTTGAAGTGGATTGGGCAGCTGTTTGAAGTGTTTGTAAAGATTTCAAAACACTGGGGATGCTCTGCCTCACAATGTCTGTTGTCTTCATGAGACAGTGATTTAGTCTGATATTTATATTTAAATGCCACTCTTGCTACAATTGATGACAAGTCAACAACGTTGAAAACACAACCAAAGGCCATGTTTTACTTTTAGTTTTTTGTATTCACAGAGAACACCTTCGCCATTTGGTCCATGGCGAATATGCCTCCTTTGATTTTGTTGTTATAGAGCACAATCTCTGGTGTCTTCCATTCAGTTTCACTTTCTATAGCTGGACGGTTGTGTATTGTGTTCAGGAGCAATACATTTTTCTGCTTCGAGCTCTGGTATTTGACAAGGTTGTTTCTAGTCTGAACAAAAACACTGATTTGTTGAGGGGCAGAGCTTTCTTTTGCTCTAACCCCTTGGGTAGGAACATCTTGTTTTGTTTCACTGTTCCAACTAGGATCATCCCCTCTTGGCCATTGGTTCTGCAAGTTGTAGGGGAATGAAATAATAGTCTGTTCTGAATATGCCCCTTCCATGGAAGTCCATTGTGAGAGAAATTACAGTCCCTGGGTATATTCCAACATTTCTCTTTGCTGGCAAGGCACTTGCACTTTCTTTGCTGAGATATGGGCAGCCTCTCAGAGGATAGTTTGAAGATGATTCGAAGGCTAAGAAGATTTTTATTCCATATTTGTCGGGCTTGCTTGGCACATATTGAATAAACCTACACCGAACTCTGAAACCAACCAGTTGCTCAACTTCTGTGATGTTCTCTTAAAGTACCTTGCCAAATTACTCAGGAATGCTTCTCATACATCTCTTATGGGTGCAAAGATGTCACAAGTCAGAAATGATTGGTCTAGTATCCTTGTTGTCAAAGCAAATATGAATCAGAAGTTTGCTGAATCTCTTCATTGAAAATGCTGCCCTAAAAAGAAGATTTCCATCAACAGGACTGAATACTGTTCCACTGAAATGCTGTTAAGGTGAAGAGCGCCTGTGTGTAGTAAGTAGCCAATAAAAGCTTTCATTTAGATCGCATCAGTCCCTTGCCATTTGTTTCCTTAAACTTTCTCGCCTTCTCTGATGGTGCAGCTATTGTTTGTATTTTTCATTAATTTACAGAACAAATGCATCAGTGGGAGAAACTACTTGATCTGTGAAGGGAGTTTGCTTACAAGGCAACTAAATCATGCCACATAGTAAAAAAAGAAAATAACATAAAAAGAGCCATTTACTGTAATATAAGACTATGGGTGTAACCTACCCAGTGGCCAGGAATCACCAGAAACACTTTTTCCCATTATAATAGGTGTACGGGCATACTACACCCAGTGATGAGGGACAGGGTATATAATATGTTGCGGCGGAAAGGGTTAAAATACAATAAAGTTTTAAGGAAAATTTTAATTCATATTATAGTTATAGGCCTAAAGTAGGCCTGCACAAAGTCAATTTCAGAGACTCTTGATTTATGCAATGAAATATTTTGGGAACATTTTCTTTCTAAAGTTTTTTTTTTTAATAATTAGAAAGCACCAATATTTAATATACTACAATTTATTTGGTAGCAAGGATTTTATATGATAAGTTGTATCATGAGGGAGGAAGAGTATTTGCTAAATGAAATTTAGCTCAATTTGAAATTACAAGAGAATGAGGGTCCATCTCCACTTTTTTATACAAATATATTCAAGTATAATAAATGCCATTTCTGTCTCAGATGGTAAAAGATATGAGATACAAAATGATATTCTTCAATAATTTTGTAGCAATCTGAATATGAGTGATCTAAGACAATGCTCCACAAAAATGTTCATGCCCCACACACCTAAACCCTTTCCAGACTCCAGCGACACACCATCTTTTATTAACCATATTTGCCTATCAACATTATCAGTGCTAACATTAACAAAATACTCCTTTGTGTATTACTTTGAGAAAAGATACATGTTTCTGAAAAAAATATTTTACCCCCCCCCCCCCCTTTGCGCTGGTTAGTTTTTGATTTTGTGTCACCCCCCACCACCCCCCCCCCCCGGCTGCTCCCAGATGCTTGACGACAATTGTGGATAGCCTAAAATATTTGCTAAATGAAATTTAGCTCAATTTGTAATTAAAAGAGAATGAGGTCCATCTGTAATCTCTACTTTTTTATACAAATATATTCAAGTATAATAAATGCCATTTCTGTCTCAGATAGTAAAAGATATGAGATACAAGATGATATTCTTCAATAATTTTGTAGCAATCTGAATATGAGTAATCAAAGACAATGCTCCACAAAAAATTTTCATGCCCTACACACCTAAACCCTTTCCAGACTCCAGCGACACGCCATCTTTTATTAACCATATTTGCCTATCAACATTATCAGTGCTAACATTAACACAATACTCCTTTGTGTATTACTTTGGGAAAAGTTGCATGTTTCTGAAAAAAATATTTTACACCCCCCCCCCTTTTGCGCTGCTTAGTTTTTGTAAACAAAACATGCTTTAAAATGAGACAAAACTTTTTCCTCTTTAACATATTAGGCCCAAGCATTTAATCTAATGATTTACATACATATTTGTTTATTAAATTGTTTCATCAAACGTATAATTTGTTGTTTTTTTTTTGATGTGCAAAATTAACATAGCAAAATGTTAACTAAGTTCTGAAATCATGACAGAGGATATTCTGATACATTTGCTGAAGATTTTAATTTAAATAAGTACAATCAGCAAATCAATTTACTTCTAACCATGCAACTTGTCTAATTTACACTGAATAAAATCTGTTGTATATATAATTTATCAAGTTTGACAGCTTGGCAATAAGCTTATGACTGTTCCATTTCCTCAACATGCTTTCATCATCTGTAGGTGTTCAAAATAAACTCTGTCCTTTTCCTCCAAAGGAGCTCTGAACTAAGGGATTTTTTAAATGAAAAGTATAATTATTGTATACTGAAGCATTTGGTTTATTATTTATAAAAATTTAAAGATAGCCAATTTAGAAGCTAATGTTAAAAAGAGTATAACTTGCTACCTAAGGAAATTTTCTTGTAGAATTTCCCAGATAATATTTTGTGGAACATAGTTAAAGATATTCACCAAAGACAATAGACATAGTTTAATCAATTGCCATAAAACCAGCAGGAATCCTTTCCAGGGCAGAGTAAAACAAGCTGGAATAGGCCACCTGGAGATTTGTCATGAAGGCAGATACAAATAATATGGGACCAAATTGAAGATGGAGAATATATCATGATGCCTGGAAATCACTTGTTAAATTACCAGGTGTAGACAAATAATGGTATACAATTGTATTGTCTTCAGTGTAATTTTTAAAGAGTATTAGAGTAGATTTTAATTTGCTCTTTACTTTTACTCATGATATGTCTTGTGTTGTTTTGAAATTGTTTTAAGACCTAGCTACCAGGCCCACACCTAGGAAATTCTGGGCCTAAGGCAGCTGACAGAGTTCGGGCCCCTTTCACGTTTCAAACATGTGTGTATATTTTAAAAATTAGAAAAAGGGAGGGCCCCTAATCTGCCTCGGGACTCTGACAAGTGTCATGGTTGTCGTTTCCCTCCCCCCCCCCCAACCCCCCAGGTGTGGGCCTGTATTTACTTACAGTTACAGACTAAAATTAAAATAGACCTATCTATACTGATGGTCATACTATGTTATAACTTATAACTATAATTATAATAGTTACAGTTGGAAAGTAACCAATACCACTTAACTAACTAATTACTTGTCAAAAGCTAAGGCTTTATTATACTTTATATTAATTTATATTAAGTTAAATTAATTACTTTACTTTATAGTAGCGTTATTTTGCTTTAGTTATATTATTAATGATCAAAAAGGTAAGCTACACTAACTGTAATTTAATAAACTTAATAATGTATTGCTGAGTCTGAGCACAAAAGTAAATTTTAGAATACGCTAGTACTAGTAGCTTAAAATTAAAAAAATTAAAAGTGACTTAGACTCAACTAAACTAGACTTAGACTATTATATCATAAATAATTATATCATGTAAGTAATGTATGTCATGTGATGTATGCATAAGAATAAGAATAAGAGTTAATTATAATTACTTAATTACTAAGTTATTAAAATTAAATGGATAACTCAGTAACTGTAACACTAAAAAAATTCATTAATTGATTAAATAATTTCACTTCAACTTCAACAAAATTCTTACTGACTAAATCTTACTCTCTTGTATTGATGAAGTCCTGGAAAACCTTCCAAAAACTGTTCCGTAGGTAAAGAATTTAAAAATTCAATTCTGTGCCTGTTGATATATTTACGAATATTTTCCTCCATGTTACCGCTACGGTGTAAAGATCAAGACTACTTTGACAGACCAGGAGTAAAAATGCAATATCGAAACTGAAACTACTTTGTGTACCACTGACATAGTACAGTACATTATGTAGGCCAAACTCATGCTTTTTTCCTCCCCCATTTCGTTTTTAAAAAGGATAATGGTAGATAACTTGGGATTATCAAAAAATACTTACATTTTTTGTATTATTGTTCCTTATTAACAACTTTAACGTCAGACCTATGTACGTGAATCTCTGCCTGTACTGTAACGTATTTGTTTACGTAATTGTATCTTGAAGGTGAAGGTAACAAAATAGATACACTCAACACTGGCTTCCCATTCATTTTTTATCTCACGCTCCGATGGATCACATAAAATGTTATAATGCCGAATCCGCCCCACACACAAAATGAAAAAAAATTAGTCCCGAAAAAAACTGTTTTTAAATTAGCTACCTTTTTTAGACCGTTAGATTCACAATCATAGGATCAAACTTACAATAATTGATAAATATATTTGTCTTTCAATATATGGGGGAAAAAATAAGTGGTTAACTTTAAAATTAATCATGATTTAACATTATACCACCCCCTCCCAGTTTTTTAGTTTTGTTTGTTTTTTGTTTTTTTTTTGCCCTTCCAATTTTTAAAACAATACATTTCCTTTATCTTAGTGCGTTTGCTCAGTGAAGTGCGCCCCCCCCCTCCCCAAACAGGGTGGGCCAATATTTTCGACACCCACTGTCCAGAAAACTTTCCAGTTAGCTCAAAATGGCGATGTTTATTTAAAGAAAAAAATTATTCACAGGGCGGACCACTTTTCCAACCCCCATTATCACATGCCACTCTCCCAGAAACTATTATAATATGTCATCCAATAATATTTACAAATTATCTCCCTGTGGTGCAAGTATGGGGGTTACACCACAAGTTAAGATTTAAAATTTATTTTACTTACGAAGAGGCCAGTACGACCAATAAATACTAAGAAATACTTTGCTCTTTACAAGTCATCATCATCATGTCCCTTAGTCCTTGGACCGTTGGGGCGCCACAGATGACACGAAAACCACCCTCCTCCATTCGTCTCTGTTTTAGTCCCGTCCACTCTTTGATGTATTACTCTTCTTCTTCATCATCTCGTTGCATGATTTCTTTGACGAGCCCTTGTTTTCTTGTCACGCGGCCATACCATTCTACGTTGCGCCTTTTTTTACAAAAGTGTGGACCCTCCCCGATATCTTCCCCCAACCCCCAAAATAAATATAAATATATAGGCCTATATATATATATATATATATATATATATATTTATATATATATATTACATAAATTTCTTTACAAAAAATGTTTTTAAAATTTACAGTCACAGTCTTATAAAGAACTTCGTTCCCTTGCTTTAAAAATATATATATATATATATATATATATATATATATATATATATATATATATATATTTATATATATATATTACATAAATTTCTTTACAAAAAATGTTTTTAAAATTTACAGTCACAGTCTTATAAGGAACTTCGTTCCCTTGCTTTCATGCAGGACTGGGACCCTGCGCACAATAAAAATATCAGTACTACTTTTGTTTAATCTTGCAGGTATTAAATTATTTTTAAATAAATAATGTTCAGTTTTAACAAGAGTTTAGGCCTAACATTAATTTTAAAAGTACCGGTTAGGCCATAAAGTATGCAAAATATTCAAAATCAACAACCTCCTCCTCCACCGCCCCCTCCCCCCCCCCCCTAATAATGGTTAAGCAATATACGGATTGAGCTATCATACTGATTTTAGAAATTTAAATGTATTGACTCTGTGCTCTTTACAATAGTTATATTTCCTGGCATTACGCACTGTAAAAAGTGCCGGCGGACATCAGCAACCCCACGTGTGGCGTGCACGTGTGGGGTGGGGGGGGGTATGCAAAAGGTAAGTTTGTTGTGCGGACGTCCTTTGTGAACAACCCCTATCCAGAGCTATGATTTATTGTGAAGGCCCCTTTTTTTTTGGTTTTGTGGCCCCTGTTGAGCCTCTGCCCATAACCTCACCCCATCCCCGGCACGGATCAATTTCTTAACAAACACAAAAAACCTTGAAATAGCGCAAATCCTGTCCGACGTGCATTGTGCAATGGTTTCTGTGAGACAAGCTCTGCCACTCTGGAAACAGATTTTATCATGAACGGGGTAAACGCAGAACGATCGCCTTGCTATACAACTTGCTACAGATTTGTGCGTTTCTAAAATCGCGGTGTTTTCAAAAGATTTTCTACGAGACTGAGGGTTGTGAACATGGGCGCCCGCAGGTAGGGGCAAGGTGGAGCACTTGCCCCCCCCCCTCCCGGATTGATTGGATAAAAAATTTTAAGACAAAAATAGACAAAAAATGTATTAAAGTATAGAGAAAATAAAGAGAAAGTAACTAAGCTGATGTCCTGTCCGTTCGTTCACCACACAAATACGCTACAGTAAATTAAAACTATATTAAAACATTACTAAAAAATTCCCCCCCCCCCGGAAAGTTTTCTGCGGGCGCCCATGGTTGTGAATGAACTTATGGTATCGTGTGTAAATTTTGCCAATGCATAGTGAAAGCAGGATGGTTGAAATGACGAAATGAAATTAATATTCAATGATATACTGGTGTTACAGAGAGCTTGTTTACACAATATTTCTCGTACGTGCCCTCTGATTGACCCCGCATGAGACGCTGTGTTCACAAAGGGGTGTGGCTTAGGTCTTTGATGTATTTCTTGTTTACACCGCCAGCCACTGAAAATAATTAATCTGTTCCAAATAGTATTTGGTAGAATGATTGGGATTTTTCTCGAAATGTCTCGAAGGCAGGGCTTGGGCGTCGGTAGACCCACCTATATAAGGGATTGACAGGCACGGACGAG